TGAACTTTGATATTCCAGTGATATACAGCATTCCCCATCTAAAAAATATCATGGCAGAAGTTCCCACCTCTGGGTTCTACCCACAGTGCCACTGCTTTTCCCCATCCATTTCAATAGACCTGGTAGCACAGCCCTCAGCCCGTGGGCACAGGACTTTACTGTAGCAGCCGAGCAGCAAAGAACAATCTGCATTGATTTTCTGCTTTGATATTGCTAATTTCATATATGTTTACAGTGATATGATGTTCCCTGAAGGCCAAAACTTAAATTTTGGCTATTTGTCAAAACTAGTCAGCCTTAATCTTGGCCTTTCCATATATGCATGCCTTCTGGATGATTTAATGTTTATGATTGTTCTGTTGGCTATTTTTTTTTCATTAAATACTTACTTTTTGTACATAGCAAGTGAATACGTGGAGGGCATTTATTCTGAAGTGGAAGTAAACTACAGTAAAATCAGCTAGAACTCTCTGCACCTAAATTTTACAAATTTTCAATTGCTTCTAAAATAAGCATGTTAAATATTCATATATTTGCATTGAAAAAACTAAGCTGATTTTAGAAAACCAAAATGATTAAATCATAGGCAATTTGTGCTGACCACCTCTTTTTAGAAAGGACTTTTTTTAACGTTCTTTGTTTCACCAGAATACAGATTATCTATTTGAAATACATGAACTGAATGGACTTCCCATTGAGGTTAGTGTATTCTACATTGTAATAAAGGTTATGAAAAGATGTCCGAGCACCAGCTGGCCTTCCTTTGATCCTCTCCATTCTTGTGATGATACATTTTCACACTTAAGATGATTCCCTTCTACCTCAAAGGCTGAGAGCTGCTTTGGTCCTTACAAATATTAACTGCAATCACAATGACCTATCTTTCTGGTTCCAGTCATCTGTTTAATATAGAGTGGAAGGTCAGAACTACATTAAAAGGGTCTGAAAGGCTTTATTTCAGTATACTGCCCCATGCAGAGCTTCACAAAAAGCTGGCAGACTTGTAGTTCATGCATGCACGCTCCTCAGCCCTGCATTGTGTGCTTCTATTAATGGGCTTTTGTAACCTTCCAGGAAAAATTCCCTCACCAAGTGAACAAAACTGTTGTCAGATCTGAACACACATGTGAATATCAACTACAAAAAAAGAAAAAAAAATTATATTAAACAGTAGGGGTACTGTCTTCAGAAAAAAAGGATGTCTGAGTCACTAGCTTGTGTCTTCACTAGGCTGTGTTTTAAAGGTAGTTTTTATGTATTTTCTAGGATGGAGATTTAATAGCAGAGGTGGAAACCAACTGTTTAGAGAAGGCAAATTCAATAATAGATGTCAGTAAGGATTAATGAATAAGGCTATGGACCAGAAAGCACAAGCCTGTGTGTACCAATACAAAGAAATCTATTTGCAGCACAGTGGAGCACAGGTCACTTTGAAGTCATTAGCATACTGAATTACCAAATAGCTGCATCTGAGGCACTTCAGTTGTCCTTAAACCACATTTCCCAAGCTATCACATTTTCCCCTTTGAATCTGTCTATAAAGCTCATGTTTATTTGCCTTCTATTAAGTCTTCTTCTCAAGCAGGACCATCTATATGTCTTGCCATAAAGATACTACTTCTCAAATAAGTTCTTTAGCTTTTAGAAAGCTAAATATCCAAAATCCAAGCACACACTTCAAAACATGGAGCCTGGAGAATTTATAAAGTTTTACAACTCTGTTCACCTATATGGCTCAACACTTTTCCTTACTGAGCTTGAATACGTTAACCTCTGGTCTGGATTATGGGGAGTGGGTAAGTGGCATGAAGTGAGCAGCAAGAATTGAATGCAGCTGTCCACGTATGAATGGAGCTACCCACAGTGGGGAAGACAATGCAAGGAAAGAAAAAAGTGGATTCCATAAGCAAATGGCCTATGGAGCCAGTTCCACTTGCTTCACACTGATTTTGTCTTAAATTTGGCTTGCTCTTGTATATGCCACTTAGATGTTTTGGGAATACTTCATGTGTAGCAATTACTTCCCTGTAAAATTATCAACAGGAGTTTAAGTGTATTTGAATTTGCTGAAAAAGCCATGGAAACAAAGCACAAGTGCTCTGATCTAAAGCCTGACCTCTGAATTTGAGAAACATCTAGTAGGCCAGATTTAAAAAGAGTGTGAGAGAATGCAGATGAAGTGTTGGACCACAAAAACACTCTGTGCTCAATGGTAACAGGTAATAAACAAGCAATAAGCCTTGCCTAGTAAAGTTATTTTTCCTTACACAACTTTTTCGGTTCTAACTAGACTAGAAAATAAGTCTCAAGCAAAGGATTTTTTTTTTTTTTGGAAGGGGAGTTATTTGAACTTAGATGTTATTATATGATGTCTCCTTTTCCTATGTACACACAGTAAACACCCTCACATAAAAATGGCAGGTTATGTTTTGTACAGATTTAATGCTTGTTCATCGATATAAATAAAAAAGCCAATCAAAATAAATCAATAAAATAAATCAAAATAACCACAGTAATGCCTTCCAAAGTCAAAAAATTAATTTGATTTTTTAAAATATTGTTCAGGAGTCAAATGACAGATATGTTTGCCCTGAACAAACCCAAACTAAGCCCCGAGTGGTCACCTGCACCTTCTGTAAAAAAAGTGATCAGGTTTCCAAGATGAGCAGTTCTGAGCTGCAGGATAATTATTGCAAGAAATAACAACTAGCAGTCTCCAGTTTTACTGGACCAGGTTGGTTAACTCCCTCTTCCCCCCAAAAAAAATTAATTTTTTTTTCAATAGCATGTCATTTACATCAACTATAATGGCACTACTGCACTGTGTGGTACTGGCCACAGTACTGATGCCACCCATCCCCTCAGCACCCTGGCTATGGGTATTTGTGAGCAGTAGCCATGGGTGGGTGTCTGCTGCTTGTAAATACACTGGCTCAGCACTGGTGTCATGGTTTCCACCTGTTCTTCAAAGCCACAGGGGCTGCTGCTCCTCTCCAGCTGTGCCACGTTTATGGCAACATTAGGACTATCAAACCTTATTTGCTATTCCCACTCGAACATCCTCTTCATTAGAGACCTACAGGTTACCATAGGTAATTACTATGATACAGGAAAGATCTTCTTTCCAGGTCATTTTCTGCTGATGTCTCTCTGACAAAAGCTCAGGCAATACTAAATTGATGTGACAGACTATATTTGATTTTGGAAATACAACAGCAAAATCCATTTTCTTGCAGTCAGGCAGTGATATTCTCACTGCAGAGTGGATGCAGGGATGGGGCTTCTTAATCCAAAACTTTTTACTCCATACATAAAAATTAATTCTCTTCCATCTGACTCTATCCACCTATTAATCCTTTGAATTTTCTCTCTTGCTCAGCTTTTCCTTCAAGCCAGCTAGAAACAGCAGTTCTTACTGCTCCTTCCCAGTACTGTACCTCCTCCTTTTTTCTGGTTCCAGCTGCACAAACTCAGATGGAACAGTTTCCTCCTACCAGCGTTTGCTCTACTTCCTTCTCAAAGATGCCACATTGCAACGTGGTGTTTTAACAAACCCTCCAAACTGCAAACAGCATTCACAGCCTGGCAGCACTTCTGAGAACTGCCACGTTTCTAGTGTGAAACAACTCTCACAGAAATTCTGCCAAGCAAGGGGAATAATCCTTAATGCAAGAGAGCTGTCCTCTTGGCACAAAGCGCCTGATACTAATTCATGATTTGACCTAATCTATGTTTTTAAAAATATTTCAAGTTGCCACTTTCCCTTTATGACAGTCTTACACATTCCTCCAAATCTCCAACAGAGTTAGAAGAGCACAAAGACTGCAACATGGTTTGATTTAAACTTATCCTATAGTGACTCCTCAAAAATACAACAGAGAGCAAAATCACTGTGGAATCAGAAGTTTTTTGTAACATTAAATGACTATTGAGAGAAATGTGGATCTTTTGAGACTCACACAGACACTGTAACAGGCTGCCCCTTTTGTTTGAAGGTGTGCTGTATTCTGGCCAAAAACATTCTCTCATTTGAACTCAGGTTGAAAGCAGCTCAGGAAGGTGCAGGGACCGAGTAAAGGAAGCAAGGAAGTGAAGCCCCAAATTGTAGTGTATAGTGGTTAACACAACAAGAGATGAAACAATTAATTTTGAATTCCTGGGGGAAAAAAACACCTTAAAAAGATAGAATACTGTATTTTCAAAACTTTATATTTCCACAGATGTCATGTATCTGTAGCAAGCACTTTGAAATGCAGCAACCATTCAAAGCACCAAAGCAGAAAAAGGCCTCTCTAAGCAACGTTTCTATCCTGTCACAGTCTATTTACTCCATTAATCAGCCAATGTCTTATGCTCATTCAAGTACAAGACAACTTGATTGCATTTATTTTATAATGCAGCTCTTCTTGTGATGCCATCCCCTTTAGCACTGTAAAGATACCTGGAATAGACGGAACTGTTACTGAAAATTCTTCATAGAAAGACAAAATACATCAAGCAATGTAAAACAATTTCTCTTTATTCACAACTTGATCTTCTCGGCCTTCATTGTACAAATAATCTGTGCAAAATAGTTTATAAAATACTAAAAAAAAAAAGCTTTTATTGTAAAAAAATAAAGTTTCTAGATATACAGTTACTTTGCACTATCACAAATATTGCCCAGTATTTAACATTTAATGTCACAATACTCAGGTCCTGTAACCTGATGACCCTACCGATAAGAAAGCCACTACTGAAACTCAGGTTCACTAGGGATTGGTTAAGCATTTTCCTCCTGTCGTATCTACACCATTACACAGCCCTGATGACCCATGCTAGGAGCTGTATCCATATCATGAACTTAGACACTGGCCATCCTTTCCTCCATTATCAGGTAAAAAATGTCCAAGTTAAATGGTAAATGTAGTCAGTGGCAAATTTTAGTAAATCATGGCAATAACACAGGAGTTACACAGTGCAGAACAACAGAGGTCCCCAAGAGTGCATTTAAACCTTGCTGAGAAGCAGTGTAAATAAAGGCAGCCTACATGTGGTTCCGGGAATGACAATGAGCACTCTGATTCCTGTCAGTGTCCAAGCCACCTGGTCTAAAAACTCTCCGCGATCTCTCTGTGCTCAGTGCAATTGCAACCACGTTAGCACGAAATGCCTCCAAGGAGTTTTGGTGCAGTCAGCTGAGCCCTCACTGCTCCAATTCGCTTTCATTCTGCAAGGTCTTCATGGCCAAGCCCCAGAGGGTCATGCTGGAGAAGAAGGGGCCCTCGTGGCTCTTGTAGGCGGCAGAGGCGGCGCGGCCGCCCAGGGGCTCGGCGCAGTCCAGGCTGGCAGCGGAGCGGATCATGGGAACGGCATCGGCCTGCAAGGGCTCCTCTGCTGCAGACACATCCACCTCTGCGTACGCATACGGAGGGGCTGGTGCTGGACTCTGCTGGGCCTGGGCTTTCAGCAGCTTAGCAGAACCCACGCCGAGTTTCTCCGCGTCTGCCGAGTCGTGGTGTTGGATCATCGATCGCAGCTTGCAGTAAGAATCCGCGGAACCGTCAAATTCCGGGGAGTTTCCAGCCGGGTGAATGGGAAACTTAACAGACACTGGTAACAACGTAACAGACATCTCTGGGCCAAAAGAGTCGGAACTCTGGGACTTGTCCAGGTCGGGGGCTTCAAGCCCGTGAGTGAGTTCCTCCCCAGCGGCTCTGCAGTGCATCTTCCTGTGCCGCCGCAGCACGGCCGAGCGCGTGAAGCACTTGCTGCAGGTCTCGCACGTGTAGGGCTTCTCCCCCGTGTGCGTCCTCACGTGCCTGCGCAGGTCACCAGAGCCCGCAAAACACTTCCCTACGAGAGACCAGCCACGCATTCAGATATTGCTCTCAACACACGCGAATAAACATGTTTTAATTGCTGAAACTATCGAGCGATATATATCCCATATCATATCCCATCATTTATCCAGAACGGGCTCAAACAAGTTCCATCTGTTTTTACAATTCCATTAACTTGTTTCTTCTTCTTGATCCGGTTTTCTAACTTGTGTTTCCCAATGAATGGATTTAACTTTTGTCTCCAGAGACACGAATATCCATTAGTACTTGAAAGCTGTGAGCGCTCTCAGTTTGTCCCAATCTTAACAGAGAAAATAAAAATTAACTATCAATTTAATTTGTCTGTCTGGAAAAACAGTATGCTGATAAGCTTCTAAATATATTCTTCCAGTGAGAGCTGCATCATAAAAAGAAATGGTTTGGTCTCTACCAAGTCCTTTTTTTTACATTCTGGCCAGAGAATGTGTGAGAACTATAATTTTTTTATTGCTGTAAATATTAGAACAGAGAAAAATATTCAACTGTTTGTCTATCTTCAAAGCTACAGACTCAAATAATCTCAATCACCATATTGCTAAGAAAAGAATCTGAGGCTGAATGAAGGCAAAGTGTAGGAGAACGAGCAGTAAAAGATACAATTAATTTCCAGAATTGCCATATGACTCAGACACCTCACATTCTTTAAAATAGTAGAAGTAAGCTTGTGATTTTTATCCAATTTATTTTTCAAGCACAGATGCCAACTAAAACGAACCATATTAAATGACTGCCCAATAAAATTGCAGTCTGAATTTTCAGTAGGATACTTTCTATTTTGCTGCACAGGTTTCTCTTCAGAACAGCCATTAAACAGTAATGATAAGATTAAAAATCACTGGAGTAATACATCGGGATGTTTTGCATAGTGTGAATGATTTCTTAATGCTTCATCAGATCCTCGTTGCACAAATCAAAAATATTAAAAAGACCACTACAAGACAAAATGAAAGCAAGCCTGTTTAATGGCAGCAACAAAACTGTGTATCTATTTCCTCATTCTGATGCAAAATGTCCTGATAATATTGACCTTTTCTTGTGCCTTAATACAGTGCAAATAAAACATAATGCAGCTGGATTTGAACACATGAAGCTGCCTTCCTCCAAAGCTGATTCCTCAGAACATGAATGAAATTCTGTCAAAGTAACACATAATGGCAAAAGAAAAATACTATGCAGGATGTTAAGTAATCTATGAGATCAAGATGTCCCCGATCAAAAGCCATTTTCAGACTTCCTGGCAGTCTGGCATCTACAATAGAATTTGAAAATGGGTGTTCTGAAATATTGATCAAGTTTTGATTTTATTCCAGAGACTGAAGCAAAGTAACAAAAGGTTGTTATTATCAAACTCTGTGGGTGGAGTCAAAATCAAATGGTATGCAATTGAAAAAAAAAAGACCCCATCAATAGCCAAGTGATGTCAAACAACTTTCCATCAGAAAGAACTATTCTGAAAATAAATCTATTTTTGAAGCAGCTACTTGGAGCAGCTCTATAGCAAACATGCTAGCAAACACATATAATGTTGATTCCTCTTACTTCCTTTCTCTAATTTTCAACTAAAATTCTCTTTTAAACTTATGAGAAATAAAGGAATTTATTACACCAAATGAAAGACTATGAAGCATGCAAGACAGAAAATTTTGTGACTGACACAACATGGTATTTCAATTTAAAGCAGTTTTGATTAATTGTTATTATGCTGACAAAGGAACTTTTACTCATCATTTGAAAAGCAAAGACACAACCAAGCAATGCACAGTGAACCTCACCACAAGCTGAACAGCTGTATGGTCTCTCTCCAGTGTGCCTTATCCTGTGCTTTACCAATTTTCGTTGCATATTAAATGACTTCCCACATTCATCACAGGTGAATACTTTATCTGCTGTATGGGTCTTCTTGTGCTCCTTTAAATTACTGAAGTTGCTGAAACCTAGAAAAATATAACAGATTCTGAGATTAAAATGCCTCCTCACTTTTCAGTCAAAAAACCTGAGGCAGAAACTTTAGTTCTTACACACCTCTGCCACAGATATCACACAGGTGAGGTTTTTCTCCAGAATGAATAATTATATGACGCTGAACATCACCAGAAGCAGCAAATCTGTAACACAACACAGAAACCAAATTAGTGTGTTTGTAAGGCCCTTGTTTCCCTAAACTATCATATGGAAATAAGCTTGAATGAATGCCTGATGTTCTGAACAGACAAAGATAAATGGATGCAATTAAGATAAATGGATGCAATTAAGAAAACATTTTTAAACTGACCAATGTCCAGTTAAATTTATGCTAGGAAAAAACACCTCCAACAAACATTTTTACCATTAATGTTACTAATACATTCTATATTTTATGCTATTGCTGCATTTTCTGTCACCTGTTAGCTAGCAGAATCATTCAATGCTTTGCTTAAATTTGTCAAATTTCCCATACTTCAGAATTCCTTAAAATGTCAAAAAAAAAAAAAATATGATCACCTAATGATAAAAATATGAGGGAAAGATACAAACCCACATGATTTATTGTGACTCAAACCGTTCAAAATACACACAAAAATACACAACACAACACATATAACACAACAAAATACACTCCATGCTATTCTTATCTACATACCAATACACAAAAATTTATACCACAAGCTCTGGTGACACTGATTATCTTACAAGTCAATTGCAAACATTCATGTATTTTAATCCCATCAGCACACATTTAAACCCAGCGTCTTCTAAAAAAAATTAAGCAGTATGTTGCCTTAGCTCTTGGCTCACAGTTTATCATGAAGATTAGTAGAAAACATGAATATTTATTTTCATGTTAGCTTTACTAAGATGAGAAATTCTACTCACCTTTTCCCACAGATTTCACAAATGTATGGCTTCTCACCAGAATGTCGACGTAAATGTGTCTGGAGGTTACCTGCCTGAAGGGAGAGCAATTTAAGCATTTAAATTCAGCTTGCCTGTTGCTGTATACAGATAAAAAAATCCAATTATTAACTATGAGACTAGATTTTTATTCCTACTTCTAAGACAATGAAGACTATAAAGCATGTATAAACTCAAGTATCTTATCAAGTAAAGACAGACTACCATGTATTTCAATATCAAATTGTTGACGTATGCAATTATCCATTGACAAGAAGAGAAATAGGGAAAAAAATAAGAACAAGAAGCCTGAAATCAAATACTAAAAGAAATACCTACAATTGAAAGCAAATCCAGTTATAAATGAAAATTACACTATCTAGAATACAGTGAAAAAGAAAACGTACTAGCAATATGGTTCACGTTAATCTCACTTTCCCTATCCTACAAATAAAATATTGTTACACAAGGATGTCTGAATTCACCTACCAGGTGGTTAAAAAGATAAGGGTGAACATTTTTCTATCCTTAAAATACTCAGATGCTCCAAACATGAAATCATTTACTCATACGAAAATAAAACAGAATAGGAAGTACAGAAAAGAACAAATGGGACTACTGCCAACAATTTTATTATATCTTTCCCCTCTCAGTCCTCTAAAAATCATGCTAGTCTAGCCAGCAAACCAGACAATGAATAGATAAAATCTTCTTACTGAGTCCAGCTTTTTTGAAATATTTTAAAGCCACTAGTCCATGTGAATGGCTACTCCACTGAGTCCAGTTCTCAAACCACAAGACACACCTTGTAGAAGAGCTACAGATATTCCATACATTGTGCACACTTCCACTGTCAGGTTTTAAACCTTTTTGAGTGATAATTGCCTGGTTTTTATTTATCTAATGAAACATCAAGTCCTTTTACGTCAGGAAAGAAAATTTGGGATGCAAAGATGATCATGTCCTCATTAGTCACAGTAAGATAACAAAAATAAGACCCAGAAAAATTCCTTCTGACACATTTAGATAATAAATTACCTGTTACGATCTATCACTGTAATCAGACCTTATAACACACCAGTACTCAAGTACTGCAGACACACACACAGAGTACAGTATCAAATGGATCAGTGCTGGAACCCTGAAAGAGCTTTCTTCAACCCCTGTACATTTTTTCACACAAGAGTGTGATTGAACAACTATTTTCTAAGGCCAAACTTTCTAATACTGAATTCTACTCAAAGAGAGGTATTAGCTACTTATTTCTAGAGAAGAAGAAGATGAACCATGGAATAATTTTTGCTTTTCAAAGACAAGGGATTTTATGTCGCAGTGCATTTTAGAAAAACATACAGAAAAAAGAACATTTACTTCTATCCATGTCACAAACAAACCCTATCATGGGCATTTGAAAGTTATTCCAGGTAAAGACAAAGGGTGAATTTGAAATGCAACAACTATTTCCCACAAAGGCATATAAAGTAAAAATAAAAACATTTTACATAAAGCACCAAGGAGATCCATTTCTTTATTACAAGCCTATGTCCTTTCCTCCTAATGAGGGCAAAGCTTGTTACACTGTACTAAGACAAAATATGGTAAAAAACATCAATAGCTTGTATTTTTCTTGAGCTTTAAAGCTGGCACACAACCTTGGTTAAAGCATCACATGCTATCCCAATGGAAAAAAAACCTAAGGGGGCTTCTGCTTGCATTTCAGTGCAAGAAAAAAAAATGCTCAGAAGAATCCTCTAAATGGTTGCATAGACCTTATTACAAATTTAGAGACCAGAGATACACCAGACTTAGTCCTTTTGTAAGTAGAAGCTTTCAAAGTGAAGCACCTTGTGCACACAGGCCCCCAGAAGAATCCCTGCAGGAGAAGGTAAAACACAATATCCTGAATCACCAGCCAGAGAGGGCTCACATCACAACAAGCTGTGGACAAGCAATAAGGGAAGATGAAGGCTTGGAAGTAAAAAAAGAATATTTTCCTCAAAAAAAATCAAATACTTTTGTGGCTGCTTGTTCCCAACTACGAGTTCCCATATCAATTTTGCCTACTTCTTTCATTTTCTGCTCCACATTCCAACACACATCAGCTACATTCAGCAGGAGCAGACATCCCACCAGGCCCAACAGCTGCACTGTCTCAAAAGCACAGAACATGAAGGCTTAAATAAGAAAAGCATTTCTATTTCCGTGCCTGCAGATGGAGAAGATAAAGGACAAGATCGGACATGGTATTTTAAGCAAGAAATAATAATAATCCTTGGATCTTACTTTCTGGTGAGTGAAATCTTACTTATTTGCAGGACTCAAAAGCAAGTACTTCAGCAACAACCAAGACCCCTTTATGAGCAGAGAAAGAACTGCAGCACAGAGGCTGAATGCTCTGGCTCGTGTGCTGGATGTGTAGGGATTGTCCACGGATACATATCTGTCTGCCCCTTCAGGCAAGTCAGCTCACAGCGAGGCAAGGGAAGCTGTTTGGGAGGGTTTAATTAAAAGATAGAAATTTCTAGCTTTGTCAGGGGTTTTCTTTGTTTCTGTAATTAAAGAGGAGCAAAGCATATGGCATGAGGAGTCTGTCATGCCTGTCAAACACTGTGTGACACTCCCCACCTCTTCCCCCATAGTAGTAGTATAGAATACCACTCTATTTGCCAAAAGTACTTTTAATGGCATTTAAAAATTTGAAAAATTTTAATTTTTTTTTCTTTTTAATAACTGGAAGTTCAGCCACCAAAATGAATGAAAATGCTCTTCTTTGCCTGAAAAACATGCCCAGTTTTGCTGAAAATTGCCAGTTTTGCTGAAAAAGCATGATGAAACAGTATTGTTCACTAGATGCAGTCTTATATTTAGCAACAAGGTGGAGGACACAAAGGCATCAGATTCATGGGTCAAACAAGGCCCACTGTGGGCTGTGAAACTGAAGGAAGAGCAGCACAATCAGTGGTGGGTGGATAGGCAAAAAGCAAATAGCTCTAATTCTTAAACCAGGACCCATAAGAAATGCCAAAGCTATTCAACAATAATTAAGTAATCTTAGTATAAAAATATGCACCTGTTTATTGTTTGCTGTTCTTACATGTGCACGACTGAACCATGAAATCAGAAACGAAGCAGACATTTTGGAAATGTGAGACAACTAGGCACCAAATTTGTAGAAATACAAATTAATTGTTGCACCCAGAATGGGAAGTAAACACTGGAGGGCAAATAAAGTAGCTAAAGCTTAGGCCCTGAATGTCAGTATGGAATTTCACAAGAACTTTTGTTTTAAATCATAGCTGAGCTTTGTCACTTCCAACAGGTGGTGTTCTCACTGAAAAAAACTGAGCCCACTTATATGGATACAAATTCTTTTTGTCTGACTCAAACTACTTAATAATTTATGCCATTTACGAAGATGAAACTGTATTGTAAATACAACATTACATAAAACTTGAATCTGCACTTTTTTCAGACACTGTAAAAAATTGCTATTGACAACATACCTTTAAGCATAAAGCAGAAGAACAATTTGGAAATTAATGTTCTTCATATTTCAAATACAGCTGTGGCTCTGTATACTTAAACATTCATTTGAATGTAAAATACATAACATGTCGACTGAGAGTAGACAGAATCAAAGATACAGAATGCATCAAAGAAACCTAAAACATTCAACATGTTTTTATATAAGACATTTTAATAATTTATCCCTAGAGTGAATTGTCTTTGAACAAAAGAAAAAAAAAAAAAATCTAATCTTAAACCCAAGATTTTTAGAATCAACAGAGATACATTTCAAGTGTAAGTACCATAATATATAAAATATTCCCACCTGTGAGAAGTGTTTCCCACAAATGTTACATTCAAAAGGTTTCTCACCTAAAAGAAGAAACAGAACATAGAACTTCTAATAGTTGCAGTAGAACAGAAATGTTTAAAATTTGTACACTTCCTTTTAAAACACGTAATGTAAGAGTGAAAAATATCCCCAAAAGGATACTTACCCATCTATTTAAGGGGAAATTTAAGAGGGATATTCAGCTTTTACCACTGAGTTTGTAAGACAGACTTGGTCAGAATTTATCTTTCAAAACAAGTAGAAGAGTTTTGATATGAACGGGTACAGGTTTTAATCTTATTTTAAAATACTTTTGACTTGAAATAAAAGGAGCATCATAACACCAGGAAGAACAGAACAGATGACAAGGCCCAACAACAACAGTGATGGGAAGGGCACCTGTTTTTCCACTTGCACAGAGACACATTCTTAAAAAGAAGGAGAAATGAAGGTAAGCTAATTTGGAAGAATTGTGTTTTCTGATTTTAATGTCTACTATACATCTGCTCAGCACATAGCCATTCAGTTCCAGAAAATATATATTTGCCTTCAAATTCTCATCCTATATAGAAGTACCTGAAGATTACCCAAGTATTTAGCTCCAAAATTCTGAATTTCTTTATGTACAACTGTTATCCTTGAATCTCCAAAAACACATTAGCAGCTTTAGTAAAAACTGATGCAGCCCACTTTAGCTTTTCAAAGTAACTTGACTCTCAATCTAGAACGTGACTGTACAACACTTCAACTCTCTCATTGTTAATTTAAGACAAATATGTTTTTGTAATAACTTTTTCTCTATAGTATTTCATATAGGTGTTTTTTAATTCCCCCAGCTTAGTTCCTGTTTCCTAGTTTTTACACTGTTGATAAAATTTTATGCACAACTTTTAGAATTTTGAACACAAAAATGATGCTCAAATACCATTCATTCAATGGTAGTCACAGTTACCATCTTTCATGAGTCTAACTGCACATTTAAAGGACATTTATAATCTGTTCCACATTTGCAGGGCAACAAAACCAGTGTAAATCCACATGATTTTGAAAACAGAATATTTCCAAACTGGGGAAAAAAAAATCTTAAACCGTGTTTTATCTTGATCATTATTAAAAAAATCTGTATAAAGATTTTTATTTACTCTTTAATTTTAATTTTCCTGACTTTCCAGAACATCTCTTGGCTTCTCTTCCACTAAGTATTCTCTACATCAATGTTTTTCCTCCATCCTTGGAAATGTTACAAGCAACATCTACCATATCCGGGAATTCCATTTTCCTTTCCTTTTGCCAAATACAGATGAAGTTCTTCCAACATATTTTAGGAACAAGAATTAAATGCAATTCTCTTTAGATTTTAAAACAGAGTGAACATACAGTTTTGTTGCTTCACAGATGGCAACCTTGCAGTTAGTCTGACAGCTTGAGGCTTTACCTACTTTGTCTACTTAATGAAGAATGGAAATCTGGCTGTTTTAAAAAAGCTTTCCCTCAATGAGGGATAAAAATTATGAAGCCAGTAAATCAACTGCAAAGTCACTAAACTCTAAAGAGCACTGAGGTTTGATTTCATTACAGCTTTAAACTTGTTAAACACTAATACTGACAACACAAATGCAAATGAAACCAACAGGGAGCCAGATCTGTAGCAACTGGGAAGGATTCTGAAAGCCATAAAAGCATCAAGATAATATGAAATGGAGGATAAAAAATCAATAGAAAAACAGTAAGCAATTTTTTGCAGAAATTACCTACAGAAAAAGAAAAGTTACTAGACCTAAAGATTAGTATCTGAACAGGAATCTACTCTGAAATGACTATAGGGAGAGGGGAGGAATTGGAGCCTCAAATTTCTCCAAACAATTATTGTAGGCTGCATGCAGCCTCATTCTAACTGCACTGATGTACAAAGAATTGGAGGCTTTCCCCCAAAATAAAACAACCAAGACATTTTTTTTTTTTTTTTTAAGAAACACCAAATTACTTTTTGGAGAACAATTTTGCTCTTGCATAGAATTCCAAACCCCTGGGCTTATCAAGTAACCTACTGCTCAAAAAAAAATTAGCTTCACTGGACCTGAGGGTGTATTAGCAAGAGTGCAGCTAATAAGCTGAAGATTATTATTCTCTGCCTATCACTGGTGAGACCCTATCTGGAGCCTTACAAAAAGAAGGCAAACAGGAAATTTTACTGCTGTCTACACTCTTGGGAGGGCAGATGCAAGCAGGCTGTTCCTGGTACACAGTCTTAGGACAAGAGGTGACAGATTCAAGTTTGATCATTCCAATTAGATATATGAAAATCTTTTACCCCATGAGGGAGGTCAGATACTGGAAGCAACTGTCTGGAGATGTTATGGAAACTCTGTCTCTGGAGCTGTCCAAAATTTTCACTACACAAGGTCATAAGCAAAACAACCCAATCTAATTTGATGTGCCTTGAGCAGGAAACTGGAGCAGATTACCTCAGGAGATCCATGCCAATCTAAATTAGTCCATGATTCTACAACTGTCAATAACTTCTGAACCAAAAAACCTCATCTGAGAAGACCAGGATTGTATCCTTCTTGTTCAACACCCTGCAAGAAGATAAAGTACACAATAGTGGGATACGTGGCTGGATCAACAGCAACAGAGAAAAACTGGGGAAAAGGAGTAACTGGATACAATTTAGACAGTGGGGGACTTTACTTTTGAACCCTTGGGCTGCCTTGTGCTTTCTACCTTCTGTTGCATCCTTTCTTGTTCAGCATTCTGCAAGAGGTGAAGACAAAGTACACAACAATGACCAAAGCAGTGTTGTGTCTGCTCCAGAGGAGGAAGGCATGAAGGCAGAAGTGGTGCTCCTGATGAAACCACAGTGATGAGGAGCTGTATTCACTAAGGCAAGGAATGCTGCAAGTTGCTCAAGCAAAGCTCAGAACGAAAATGTTGAGGATCAACAATGTATTGTATTACATGGCAGTGCTACTCTGTTCCTGTTGCATTCCATCCTGGCAAGAGTCCTTTCCATAGGCCCGAGTTTGTTTTGAGTTGCTCTTTTGAGATGTTCCCTGAAAATACATAAAATACCCCAACAAAACCACTGGATGTTCCCGGACAAGTATGGACTTTATAAAAGATACATTTGCTTCCTTTTTTTCAGACGAGTCAATATAATAATAAAGAACAAATTATAACATTTAGTCAAAATCAACCAAAGTCAATGCAGTAAGCTCTGTTTAGAGATTCCTTTAAATGTCCATGATAATAATACAAATAAAACAGTCAGACAAGCCAGCACGATGACTGTTGAACACAGTTTGGCTGCCTTCACATAGAAAGCTCATCAATGCACCCATGCTAACCTCTAAGTTCTTTAGTAGTTCCAGGTGTTCAGGGACAGAGAATTTTACATGTGCTTTTTCTTGGCAATCATACCACCACAGCACTTGTGTTGAAAGAATTGTCATTTTTGGGTTAAAAACAGGTTTGCCAGTGTGACATGTCCATTTCAGCTTCCTCCACCTCTTCAGCAAAGCATCAAAATAAAGATGCAGCAAAGCTGTATTGGGAGGGCTTTCAGTGAGCACTGTAAGACTTAAATGCCTGCTAACCCTTTTGTTTAGCTCTAGAAAATTCATGTTTTTAAATAAAAACATTATGTTTTGTCATCTTAGCACATCCACAGAAGAATGTTAATGCTTTATTAACTAGCATTCAAGTCTGGCATTTTTGACAACTACTGGAAGAAGATGGTGTGTGAAAAGCAGCTGAGAATTCCTGAATCCTAGGTTTTCTCTAGCACAAACGGACATGTTACTGCAGTTAGCTGGAACTTTTCTAGATGCTCTTGTCTTCTATCTGATAATTTTCTTCCTGAAAATCTAGGATATTAAAATATACCTGATGATACCAGCTCAAATCAGATAATAAGATTCAAGAAAATACAAGGCAAAAAGAGGATCTAGGTAAGAGGCATACGCAACTCTTTCACAGGACAACAAGTTAAAAAAAAAGTATTAGCAACATGATACAGAAGCAGTTAAAACTAACAATTGAAAAGTTCAGGAAGCTAATGCAAAATGTTCATATTTTCAGGTTCTGGGAAGATTTTTCCATGAATGAAATAGAAAAATAAACTTTTAATTCTAAGGATCAGCTAACAAAATAAATTAATATCTGCCAAGAGAGTTTCATATTTATGTCAAAGTACCAATACATGTACGAGCATTTCCAAAGTGATGTTTATTTGACAAGACTGAGAGAGATGCATTTGATATTTAATACAGGGGGAAAAAAAAGGCAAAAAATATTCAACAGCTTAACCAGGAGTAATACCATCTCTAGGACTTTGAATCAATGCTGTTACCTGCCTAGCCAGGGTAATTCTTAAAAACTCTTCTAAAGAAACCTATCTAATAATAGAACATACTCATTAAATTGAACAGACAAATTAAATAATTTGAAGTTAAACTAGGGTTTGTTTTTCACTAGAATAAAAAGAAACTTAGAAATAAATCTATGTTAGGTTTAAAAATATTGTCTGTGAGTTTTTTAAACAAAGCACATTAATTCAAAACTCCCATTTACTCTGTAGCCTGCAAGAGCCTTACTCTCAAGGTAAATACAATTAAGTATTAGAAGGCATATTTCTACAGCTTAAAAAGATGACTACCAAGCCCCAATCACTTGTATCTTACAATGAATATATGACCAGAGAGAACAGACATATTCTATAGTACCATTTATTTGTTTACATCTTTTGTTGTCATCCGACGCAAACATCTGGGCCACCTGACAAGCTGACTAGAAATGACTCATCTAAATGCAGGACAAAACCAAAATTTTCATTGAAATTTCATTTTCATCAAAATCACATGATGTTCTTTGAGAAAGCACCCAGAACTCCAAATACATAGGAAATGTATTTGAGATGAAAAATACAATCTTTTCTACAACTTTCTTTTAAAACTTGGTATTACAATTCTTTATTTCTGTAGGATTATCCATAAAAAAAAAAACAAACCAACCACCAACAAAACAAACCACAGCCTTTTAACCAGCATCTCTAAATCAAGAGACACTGCAAGATATTCTCTATAACTGAAATATTTGTTCTGCAGACCAAGTAACTGATAACTGTACCTGTATGAGACCTTTTATGTAGCTCCAAATTGCTTGGATGTTTGAAAGCCTTCCCACATAATTCACAAGTATATTGTTTCTGTGACTGAAGAGTCTGTGATTGTCCTTCTTGTTCCAAAGGACCTTGAGATCTTTCCACTTCAACAGTTTGTTCAAAATTCTCTGAATTCACCAAATCTTCAGCTTCTTTTTCATCAGTAACTCTAACATCTGTTGTGTCCGTAGTACTTTCATTTACAGGTTCAATTACTTCTGTTATTCTACTGTCATCTCTTTGGGGCTCAGGGGGCTGCTCTGCTGATTTCTGAGATCTTAGAAAATTTAACTTTTTGAGGTGTACTGCCTTTTTCAGCCGCATCTGTCTGGTGGGCTGCATAACTGCGCTCTCTGCGTTTTGGTCTGGAGCAGCTTCACTTGCAGACTGAACCAGAAAGTTTGATGGTAAATGCTCAGAGGTTTCCAGAATACACTCAGAGTGATTGACAGTGCAAGAATTATTCTCCACTGTGTTTATTTCTGTGGATGTGCTGTAAGAAAAGGATGGTTCTGCTCCTCTCTCGTGATCAGAGCAAGCGTTTTGTTTATAGAACTGTTTGCTGTAAAAGTTGCGTAGTTTATAGTAGTAATTTGGTTGTTTAAATGGGAGCTCTGTGCAGTTGCCATCTAAGGAATCTTGTGGTGCTTTCTGTCCATCACCTGACGGGGTGTGCAGATTAACAGACTGAGAGTGCTGCTCAGCCAAGACTTTGTTAGTTTGTCTGTCAGCTGAGCACTCAGGCAGTAGGTTTGTCCCATAGCTGTCACTGGCACAGCTGGTATCCGTCCCCAAAGTGTTCTGCAGTGAAAATACACTGCTACACGGCATGCTGGCTGCCTGTTCCACAGCTGTGGAAGACTTTAAAAAGGTGTGGCAAATGTTCAGCACATTTTGCACTTGGAGGCACTGTGCAATGTCCAGCATAGCTTGTACATTGTCCTGACTGAGATCCAGGTGGGAGGTGTACATGAAGTCCAGGATCTGGCCTATGCCACCTACATTTTTGATGTCCAAGTGAAACACATCATTCTTCTGGCCTGAAGAATTCTGGAAAAGGGTCCTGATAAAATAAGGCAAATATTCAAATACAAACACAAATAATTCACAAACACTTCAATAAGAAAAACATACATACAACTCAAATAGGCTACTAGTATGAAACAAGTTTGTACTCTTCTAAAGATTGCTGTCTTTTTGATGATGAATTTCTCAAAACTGCTCAATTACTTGTCTTATATATTAGTCCTGCATTAGTGCACTTGAAATATAAATCAAAGTAAATTATCTTTTATCTAACTTTAATCCTGTACTTATGTTTTCAAATAACACCCTACGCTTGTGGTTTCTTATCCACTGTTCTTCACATATTAGATGCAGTGTTGTATTTATGGACAATTTGCAGAACCGATTGACTCAGAATGGTTTTTCTCCTTTCATCATGACAGATCAAACAGGACATAAATTTTCTAGCAAAAGGGAGAAAATAGACCTCAAAGTCAGCTAAACTCTTCTCCTCTGGCAACTGAACTGGTCCATTGAACTCCATCAGTAAGCCTATCAAAGTTCTTAGCATTAGTTATTTCTGCACAAACACACAAGAAAATGGCAATATTAAACAAGAAGATGGTATTATTTTCAATTTATTTTCTCATATAAAAGATACTTTTTTTTCTGGTACTGGATAAGAACCAAGTAAAAGAATAATGAAGAGTACAGGTACATAATCCTAAAACAGCAGTGCAACCAATACCCACTGAACTTCACTGAATCCTTATAATGAATGAACTCACAAAAGTTCTTAGTATTTGATGTTAAATATTCTCAGCATCAGAGATGCGGTTCTTCACATGCACAAGCAGTCCTAGATTAAGTGGGTTCATACTCTCTCTCAGTCATAAACTTTATACCATTAAAATCCCAAACTTAATGATTCCTTTTTGTGGGCTAAATCTCAAATTTGGGTTTGTTTAAAGGAAGGCATGATATCAATGAGCTCTGAATCTTAAGAAAATGTGAGCCTATGCTGAAACTTTAGAAATGCAGGGAATACTGTGAAGCCAGTGCCCACATCCAAATTCCTTCATAAATCTATACCATCCTATCAAAATTAAAACTGGAACTATAATGAACAGATCTGGGCTGAGAGTCTAAATTAATTAGGCACTCATATCCTATTGAATTTTAATACGAGTTGAGCTGTTAGTTCTTTTTAACTACTTTAAAAATTTGGTCTTTGAACATAATTGCACTTCATCAGCGGTACAGCACTAGAGGAGAAAAAGGAACCTCTTATCTTTTTTCCCTGGTCATAACATAAAAATAGGTTTCTTGCAATTAAATTAGCAGTGAAGTTTTAGAGATGTTTCAAAAGACTAGGTCTAAAAACTGCCAGATCTAACAGCTTACTCATAACTAATATAAAATACTAAGCTGGGAGATCCAGCATCCTCCAAAACTTGGAGGCACAATTGAGGGCAGTACAGAAGAGTAAGAAAGCATGATGTGGTGTAATGGGCCACCTGTATACTTTAAAACACAGCTATTGTCTCTGAGAATCTGAATAAGCAGAGATTCACTAATAACCTATATGGTCACATTTTATTTAGCATATGATTGATGAAACAAGTCCTATTACTTGGAAATGGGTTTTATCAGTTATTCTTCTTATCTGGTTCTGTTCATATACTCTACTAAGTTCCTTGTAAGCAGTTATCTTTTTCTAGTGAAATACTGAAAACAGGTCCATGCCAGAATTATTACATGAAGGACTATAAGCAAGTAATTCAAGAAAATGTCAAAATCAAAGAGCATACTGTGAATACTGGACACAGCTTTTTCTCTGGACAAGCAATCTCCCTTTTCTCCTTATACTCCCAACAGTTCCTCAGTCTGCAACCAACAGAAAAAAATACCCTTCTCAGAGAAACCTCAGCCAACAGCATTTAGTTAACTTTTTAAAGAGAAGAATTTTCTTTCACATACCTGAAATATTGACTGAAAGCAGCTAACACATTTTTGTGTGCTTTGAAGCAGACACCCTTCACCACCAGCATGCAGTCACAGAGAAGCCCCTGAATGCGCTGTTCATGTAGCTGCTGCAGAAGATGACAGCTGTGGCTAGCAACAGTGTCCATGCTAGAAAATCACTTAAATCACCTAAAATGAGATAAAATGCTAAGGTGAATATTAAATTTCAAAATTAATTTAAAATATTAAGAACATTTTTACAATTTGCTTTAGCTTTCAAAGAAAGCAGACTTCAGTTTACACCTGCAATTTGATCGCTAATAACATTTTTCTGGTTAAAGATGAGTCACAATATTGTTCACCAACAGATACACAGCAATACACATATGAAACAGTGATTTTTAACAGAGATTTGTTTATAACAGAGCATCTGCAAAAATCTAATGGTGCTGCCAATAAACTGAACTCCATAACCACAAAAAAATGCACCTCAATTTAGACAACTTCCACAATAATTAAGAGTCTAATGCAAAAACACATTGCATGTACAAAATCAGTAGCATTTGTAGAGGAAAGCCTCAGTTTCTTCATCCTTTAAACTCAAAAGGGAAAACTAGTATTATTTCAGGCATTTGTTGCTGTTCTAGCTACATACATTTCTACAATGTATCTGATTAATTAGACACATCAACATGGTATTGTTCTTAATACAATGTAAAATCTAAATGAAAAAGTCCCCTCTTTAGAGGTTGAATAGACAAGTCACATTCCAACACAACACATTTACATTGAATTCTATACTTCCTTTTCCCCACCCCCTCCAACAACGATGCAACACTTCCCCTGTGCGCTTGTAAACATGACAGTTCCAACTATTAGGACAATCTGAATTTCTAGTCTTCTAACTAGGAGAAAAACCTTCCTATTCTAAGGAATGAAGCAGGAAAACCACCTTTTAAGCATGACCAGATAGTGACTGCCCCATTCTCAAATCTCATGAACAATAAGGGTTCCACATTAATTTATCCTGATGTGCCCTGTCTCTGGCTGTATTACACTGGGAGGGGGGTGGTAGGGGTTACTACATTGTGCTTTTTCTCTATTAATGCTTATCATACTTTGACCAGGATTTAAAATAAAGGAACCACGTTAACAGGCTTTTCCTGTGAACATTTCCCACCGCGGCATCCTGCAATCACTTTGCCAGTGAAGTGTCTCTCATCCAGGGGCCGGGCACCGCGGCAGCCGCTCCGGCACAGCCGCTGTTCGGAGCTAAGCTCGCCTCGGCCAGGCTGGAGGAGCGGCACGGGGGAGAGGACAGGGGAGGGTCTGGTCGCCGCGGGCCGCTCTGCCCGGGGACAGCGCGGCGAGCGGCCGGTGCGGGCTGGGGGACACAGCCCCGGGCAGCGGGAAACGCGCCGCGGCCCCAGGGCAGCAACCGGCCCGGCCCTGCGCTTACCGGCTCCGGCCTCCTCCCAGCTCCATCCCCGCCAGCGGCCGCTTCCGCCGCCGCGCCCTCCCCTTCCCCTTCCCCTTCCCGTTCCCGTTCCCGTTCCCGTTCCCGTTCCCGTTCCGGTGCGCGGGGCGGGGGCAGCGGGGGCAGCGCAGGCGCGGGCGGCGGGGGCCGGAGCGGGCGGTGCGGCGCGTGCCGCGCGGGCGGCGGCCGCTGAGGTGCGGGGGAGCGAGAGCGGGGGCGGCTCGGCTCGGCTCGGCTCGGCTCGGCTCGGCTCGGCTCGGCTCGGCTCGGCTCGGCACGGCAGCAGCCGGCTGCCGCACAGGAGCGCGGGTGGCGGCCACGCCGGGCTTCCCACGCCGTGCGGCCCGGCCACCTCTCAGCGCTGCCGCGCGGCGGGGCACGGCCGAGAGGGGTCTGCAGCTGCGGGGAGCGGGATGGAGCGGCGGGGTCCCGCACGGGAGGGGAGGGGACCGGGAACGGCCCTGCGCGACGTATCCGCGCTGGGGCCGTACAGGCGACACCGGTTCCGCCGTTGGGGTGGCGGGTGCAGGGGTTACAGGTGTTCGGGTGATGGGTTCGGGGGTTACC